AAACGGGTAGTCAATCTCCTTTTTCACTCATTCCTTTCGATGTTCTGGTTCATGTTCTGGTTATTTAAAAATGCCTGGAACGAGGTATCTTACATTAGAAGAAGCCCTTCAAAGATTTTTTGATAAAGAAACAGTTGATGATAATGTTAATAATGACCAGAATGAAACTGATATTGTTGTTGTTCCCCCAGAAATTGCAGAGGCTACTGACGAAGAAGAAAGGAATAGCAATGTTTTAAATAATGATAATGATATTTTACCAAATGATACTGCTGGGGAAGTTGAAATTCACTTAAAAAGTAAGTTTCAGCCTTCTAAAAGCAGTTATAGTCATACTAAAAAGTTTAAAAAGCAGAAGACTGAAATCTTAAAATGGATAAAAAAGGAACTGTTAGTTATGTCTCAGGAAGAACATGAAGAAAGAGATAGAAGAGAAATTATAAAAGACAAAACACAAGGTAAAACTAGTGCACATATTTTCGATTTTCTTTTTGGTTTAGACATTTACACTCTTCTCGTTGAACAGACAAATATGTACGCTCAGGAAAAAAATGCCCAGAATTTATTGCATCTGAAGCCTATATGAGAAAATTTATTGGAATATTTATTGCTTACAGGATATCATTCTTTACCTCAAGAAAAAATTTATTGGTCTTTTGATAGGGACATTTCTATTCCTGTTGTATGAGAATTGATATCACGTTTGCAGTACAGGAATATGAAGCAGAATTTGCGTTTGACAATAGTTAAATTGACAATACTGATAAATTATATGAGGTGAGACCGTATCTAAATTTACTAAATATCAGCACTTTTTACTACTGGAAATATAAAGTCTGTTTTAGATTTCAGACGCGAAAATGCATTATTTCTTTTGTAAACGCCTATTGAGAGTGTAGAATTAGCAAGAAATAGATCAGCAACAGGAAGACCTAGTCAATTCAGCATTCAAAAACCATTGCATGAAGATGGTAGACATTTTATCGTAAAGTCCGTTGATAACAAAAGACTTTGTTGTAAAGAGTACCACAGCCAGACTGTTTATAGATGCAAAGTATGTAATGTAGCTTTACATCATGATTGTAATGAAGCTTTTCATGCTTGAATCTTTCAAATGAAATAATTTGCATTTGTAAAAAAAATACAATGTATATTTTAATATTAAATTAATTACAAGTAAAGTGATTTGTAGATTTATAAAACGTTATACAGCTAAAACGTAATCCTGCGCTCCACTCAAAAGAAACGTCACACGAGTACAATCCTACTCACTTAAACATCCGTAGTCTTATTCCGCTGACGTTGCGCGAACGCAACACTCGCTTTTTCCACAGGTAAGAGCATTTTTTTTTATTTTCAATGTAAATTTATGTTATAAATGCTTAATTTAATATTTGTTATTATTTTCATTAGAAAAGAAACATTCCTTGTAGTTTTGGCGGCTAATGTGTTAAGACCGCTCTTAGCAAGAAGGAGAGAAACTAATTACTAGCCATCTCCGCGGGGCGGAGGTTGAGGTACACTTATCTGAGACGCTGTCCTGCGTTACCCTCCAGATTGTATCCGGCGAGAAGATCGACATCGACAGAAAAGTAAACGTTAACATCACATTCGGAAGTGCCGCCTTCCATCACACCAAACATAGCCTATGTGGCAGATATTACAGCTCGGATTGAATACTCTGATTGGATTTTCTAAAGAAATACAATTTTTCCTTGGACTTTAAAAGAAACGAACTGCATTTTGTCTCTGAGAACATAACTACTCGCAATTAACGGAGAAGAAGCTAAATTTGTTCATCAAATCATAGCTAAAGACGCTATCACAATACCCGCAAGAACAGAGTTTTTACTTCCCAGATCCATAGCCGAAAATATAAATTTCCGCTGCGGCATCATAGAATATCCCAACAACTGTAAAAGCTCGAAAGCAGACTAGTAGCATCAACACTCATCGACCTACCAAGGACCGTTATCCCGGTGAGAGTTGCCAATGTAACTGACAAGGGCGAGAGTTACTAAGAAAGGTGAAGTGGTTGCTGCATGTAATCCTGTAAGTTGAAAGAAACAGTAACATCCCAGAATTAGTGTCTTCAAAGAGCATTCAATCAGAGTTATTGCAGAATGCGTAATTAAACGATGAAGAACGGAATGTTTCCGAACGTGTCATTCAAGATCTTCAAGCTGTTTTCCCCGCACGTCTTCTGACATAGGTCTAACCAGTTTGACACAGCATAGAATTGACCCCGGGAATCATTCACCAATCAAGCAACATCCAAGACGTCTACCAATTGCTAAACAGGAAAATGTAGGAGAACTTTTTAAAGAACTTACAAGAAAGCGATGTCGTTGAGCCTTCAACAAGTTCATGGGCATTCGCCATCGTCCTAGTCATTAAGAAAGATGGTTCACCTAGATTTGACTATCGGCGTTGACTATCGCCGGTTTAAGGAGGTTACAAAGAAAGACAGATACCCTCTTCCTAGAATTGACGTCACTCTGGACACTGTGTCTGGAAGCAAGTGGTTTTCGACATTTGTTCTAAAGAGTGGATATTGGCAAATAGGATACATTCTGACGATCGAGAAAAGATAGCATTTACTACGGGACAAGGAATTTGGGAGTTCAAGGTGATGTCGTTTGGATTGCGTAATGCACCAGCAACATTCGAACGCCTCCCTTGGAGACTGTTATGAAAGATCTTTCCTACGAAGCCTGTCTGATATACCTCGACGACATCATCGTCGTCGCAAAGAGTTTTGAAGAACATCTAGACAATCTTAGAAAGGTACTTCAGAAACTAAAGGAAGCCAATCTAAAGTTGAGTCCCGCTAAATGCAAATTATTCAGACAAGAAGTTACCACCTCGGACATGTCATCTCTGCTGAAGGTGTGTGTACGGATCCTGAAAATGTGTCAGCCGTTAAAGACTGGAAACGTCCCGAAAATGTCCATCAGCTGAGAAGCTTTATAGAGCTTTGTACTTACTATAGGAGATTCGTGAAAGACTTCCATCGCAAAGCCCCTTCACAAGCTGACAGAGGGTAAGCAAACGTTCTTGTGGACAAAAGAATGTGAGGATGTATGTAACAACTTGAAGGAAGCTTTAACATCGGCTCCAATCCTGACGTATTCACAACTCGAAAGACCATTCATTGCTCTCAACACAGACACGAGCAATGAAAGTGTCAGTGCTGTTTTGTTCCAAGAAACAGATGGCCAAGAACCTGTAGTGGCTTACTGGAGCAAGTGCCTGTCTAAACCGGAGAGGAATTACTGTGTCACCAGGAAAGAGTTGTTCGCCATAGTTAAAGCCATAGAACATTTCCATCATTATATATACGGCAGAAAATTCCTTCTCCGCACGGACCGTGCCTCATTGGCCTGGCTTTTAAATTTGCACGAACCACGCTGCAGATGCCTTTTTCTTCATTGGGGAGGTCCTTGAACTTGGCGAAGAAAGATGATGGAATATTCGCCCCATTACTGCAGCCAAAAGGAGCGAAGAGGAGATTCTTCAGAGAAGAGGACTTTGCCGGATATTAGAAGTTGGCGAACATCCTCGTTCTGTAGTGCTGCTATTCAAGGCCAATGTCAGAGGTCACAAACCCCTCCACTGAAAGATGACGTAAAATCGCTAGCCACACTCGAGACGCAAGTCTAACATGGGCGGAAGCCTAATGGCTAAGAAATTCTACCCACCGAAGTAATCCCTCGTAGGACAAATGCATACTAGAGATCTCTGCGATAAGCGGTGCAGAAAATGAAAATTCAGCATGTGGTGCGTCGCTTGGCAAAGGAATTATGTGCGCAGTCTGTTCAGATAAGGAAATTCTGAAAATGGAATTTCAAAGCCGACAAATTTGGTCGATAAAAATATAGAACTGGTAAATAAAATTTTCATCACTATTAAACAATTTAGGTACTGTAAATTAAAACTAATATTTGACAAATTAAGTTGGATCAAATACACAATAATAAAAATGTTTCTTCTGAAATAAGGATGAGTAATCGTTACTAAATTTATGTTTCTCCAATACATAATTGACCTTACCACCAGAGTCAGAAAATATGTATTCATGAAAACGTTAACAGAAAGAGGGGTAAACGTTAAACAAACTTATTAAAATTAAATTAAACACCAAAATGTGTAACAAACAAAAAAAATAATTTTTATTAATTTAAAAAAAAATTTTAATTAATAAAATTAAATAACCTTATAAACTAACAGGGACAAAAAAAAACCAAAGTAAAAAAAAAATTAAATTTCTAAACAAAATTAAAAGTTAAACAAGTTCACATTAAGGATAAAAAGAAAACAAAAAAAAATTTAAACTTCCAAACTTAAATTCAACTTACAACCATTATTTAACCAAAACTAAAAATTAAATTAATAAACTTCACTTACTGACAAAACTGAATTAAGAAGCAAATAAAACTTATAACTTGAAATTTAGAAACAATTAATACATAACAGCGGCATTGGCCTGTGATGGGCTGAAGTGCAACTGAAGAAGAAGGAAGTGTAAAACAGACAAATAGAATTGAAATCAATAGCTCAAAATGAATTAATATCCAACTTGCAACTTAACTAAACATTTTGTACTTGTCCAAGCGCACTCTGATATAACAACTAAAAAGATAAATAGTCAGAATGTAGCGTTATCAGAGTAACTAATTTAAACAGGAAACTTGGGTGAATAATCCTTTCAAGCTATATTTCTCTTAGATGGAACCGAGGAAAACGCCTTTTTTTGCAATCGTAATCTAAAACTTCCTAACAGAGCTAAATCAAATTTAAACTCGCACAAGAGCTTTTCTTCACTTCACCAACCACATTGCACAAATTAAATACAGAATGAGTCAACTACCGGACTACAGGAATTTGAACCTGGAATCAACAATAACAATATATGTATGTGCGGGGTTAGATCAATACCAATAGCAGTATATTATTTACTATTTCGCCTATTACTTTAAATATTTTTTTTTTTTTTTCAGAATGCACAAAGCCCATGGGATTAGAAAATGGTTTACTTCTAGACAGCCAGTTATCAGCAACATCCAGTTACAGTTCAAGTTTCACCCCAGATTTTGCCAGAATGGGCTCAGATTCTATATGGGCTGCAGCTAATTTAAAGGATAGGCAATACTTGCAAGTATATAATTTATCATATTCTGTATCATTATTTCATCCTGATATTTGCTCTGGAAACTAACTTCTAGTGAAAGATCTGTTAATAATACATATCTAAAACTTTCATACTCCTATTAATATTATATCCCTTATGACACCAGTGATAATACGATATGTGCAGTATAAATCAAATTCTCTTATTAGAATTTGGAAGAAATACAAGACTGTTAAATAGACCCATTCTTTTCGACTGGAGCATTACTCTTTGCTCTGTATTTATATCCTAGAGACGTTCCTTTGAAACAAATTACTCATAGCAGAATAACTAACGTATTTTATTTCGAAATTCAGAAATCTGGAAAAGGTAAAGTTTTATTTATGTATTTAATTTGTTTTAATGACTAAGGTATGGCCTGCTATTTTAATAATATGCACTGTGTTCGCTAAAGTTCTTACTCGGCCCTTATTTCCGCAACCGTTGGTCGTAGACATATAACTCCTACAGAAATGTTTTAAATTATGCAAAGATTCAACGTTTTGGCATTTTTAAATTTAAAAAAAATAATTTTGTGAATATTACAAAATGTAACTTTTTATACATTTCTCAGATCCTTGTAACTATGTTTAGGAAAGTTTTACTCTCATTATAGCAAACAAAAATAAAAATTTGACTCCCAGACGTTAAAAATTGTCCGAGATATTTAATTTCAAAATCTGCGATTTCTGACTTCATATTCAATTTGTAATGAGAGGTTAATAAGTAAATTAGAATAAACTGTGGTTGATGTTCCCCCTTTAAATGTCATTCAATGATAGTTATTTTTATGATCTAAGACTGTCTTTAATTTATAATTTTATTACATCTTGTAAGCCGAAGCAATTTTCACACAATTAATTTATAAGGCTAAAAATGTGTTATTAGCATTTTCATGAAGTTTTATTACTTTAGAATCATAATTTGGTAACCGTGCAAAAAATTCATTAAAATGCAAATATTTTCGTATTTATTTAAAGAAATAATATTAGAGTCGACTACGTGCCCATACTGAAGCTTGTCTGTGTTTTCTAGAAGGTGAATTGTATAATATCATCTGAATAAGATCTCCATTTTGAAAAACAAATATTTTATTGATCAATACTTTTCAGAATAATCTGCATAGAAATACTAGGGAGGTAATCTAGTGATAGCAGAACCTTCTAATAATAGCAAAACCTTCCTTCGATATTTTAGTTACTTATAAATGTAAACATTTCTGTCTTCAAATAACGTAGGGCCCTTAAATATGATTCTTGATTTTAATATCGTGGCCAATTTTTGTCGGACGGGAGTCAAAATTTTTATGTTCTATTTTTTATGACCAACGCAAAATTTTTGTCAGTGTAGGTATAGATAAGTACAAGAGAAACATAAAAAGTTAGATTTCGTAAGCTGTACAAAATTACTTTCTTTAAATTTAAAAATGCCAAATCATAAATTTTTGCGTCATTTGAAACATTTTTGTAATTAGAAGAATATGTCTATCACCAACGGTTGCGCAAGGACTCTAGTGGACACGGTGTATAACAACAAAATTCATAATAGTGTAAAGCTGATTTTAATTTTATAGTTTAAATTCTCCATCCTTTTCCAATTTATTGGAAATTTTCAAAAGAATGTGAGAATATTTAAATATATACTGGATACATATTCACAGTATGTGAGTACATACTAGAAATATGCTAAATACATGCAGGTAGAAGAATGCTAATTGATGTGTAACTGACTTGAATTGTAGCGAACGTGTTCTTCGTTTGCTGGACCTAAAAGTCACTTGATCGCAATAACCGTGAAAAATGCTTTTAAATTGTTAACGATTTAGTTATTTAATGAACTCCCTATAATTATTTTAAATTATCTTAAGCAAGTTTAATTATCTTAAAGCAAGTTTTACACATTTTTCAAAATTTAGTTTACTGAGAGTGTTAATTTAGATGAGAAAGAAATAAAGCTGATAATTACCTAAAGTGTGCTGCATATCACTAGTTTCTAAAAGTTCTTTGTAGGTCCGTATACTCCTGCCTCCTTAGGCCGTCATCGTACATTTCTGAATTAAATACTTAAGTTTGTATTTGTATATTTAATCTGGCTGTTAACCGTAGTGATTCTATTTCTCCATTTTTCTGTGAAACCCAGGAATATTTAAAGACATTTTTAACTATTTTGTAAATAACTTCCATACCTATCATAAATTTATCAATTCCCATTCATGGAATAATTTTAACTGTAGTACTAAAATTTTGTGTTATTTCAAAGATTTCTGCATCAGCATTTTTGGCCTGAAAATTCTGCCTCGGAAGAAAACTACTCTGTTTCTCACATTGCCTTTAATCTTAAGTAATCCTCTTTGCTGAAACTTTCTGTCCGTTTCTTGTTCCCTATGGCTTAGTAATTTGATCTATCCTTTCGTTGCTGAATCTAACATTCAGAACGCTTAATAGATGGTGAGTTTTGCGATCGTGCTCTAGAAATTGGATAAGCTTAAATCATTCCTTATGTTGATCACGTTTCTTTAGTGTTCAGCCATACAATTAATCCACATCCGTCGGTACTCATTCATTAACTTTTCTTATTCAAGATCATAGTTACTTTCTTCTATTTGATCTTTTAGTATTTGCCTTATTCAGCGCCAGTTTCATTTTAGCATAAGAAATAAAAATCTGTTTGGAGTGTCCTTAACATTCGTCAAAATATAATGCAAATGTATATCGAAATGTGAACTTTTATTGCCGATTCTAGACATAAAAGTAAAAACGTTTCTTAATGTCTGAAGTTCTACAAAAATTAGTTATACTTCGCGATTTCTTTGCAAACGTGGGAAGTACGTTTTCTGAACTAAATAAAAGCATATCTTTTTTCCCATTAATGAAGGCAGATAATTTAATTTTTCTAATGTTACATGTTGTAATAAAGTATAGAAATATCAGTCAAGGAAAGTAAGATAGCTCAAAGATACACGCAAAAGCATTAAAGATAATAGTTTAGTTTTTCATTCCAGATTTTTTTTTTTTTTTTTGGTTCCAATTGAACAGATTGTGAACAATTACAAATGTAACCCAGTCCATTAATCTATACAAGGCCGGATGTGTTGGTCTCTTTATTATGGAGGCACTTCGCCTTTCCTATGAAGGAATGGATAGCTACAACCTTGCCTTCTCCAGGATTCGAACCCAGGCCCTTCGGCATTGCAGTCAGCTTCCCTGACCACTATACCGACTGGGCGGCTCATTCCCGAAATTCGTATCATTAAAATATAACTATGCAGCAAAATAAAAAATTCACTTTTTAGCCTATGTTTCTGTTACAAATAAGACTGAGAAGATTTTTAATAAAAAAATCTGTGAATAATTCCCCTAAAATTTTTATTCTCTAGTACTACTGAAACGCTGTTGAAAAAATAACCTTGAGCTGGTTCTGAGTAAATTGTAATCTAATCAAACTTTATTCCATAAAATATTTCAAAAAAATTTAATATTCTTCATGTTGTTAGTTTAAGTGCAAGATATTCTAAGCCTATGCAATTGTTGCTAACTACAAAAACTAAAATTCTCTCATTGTACGGTATATGTCCGGGAGTTGGACTATCAGTAAGACACTATTAAGTACTGAAAAATATAGCACTTCATTCTATATTTTACAAATATTAAAGAAAGCATAGTATTTCAAAATTATTTCGAAATATATAACGACTTGACTTTTTAATTATTATTTACTACTACCACCACCACTCTTGAACAAAGCTGAGATCGCATAAATTTACGAGTGTTTAGAAAAAACTCAGTCAGCATGTTGGGGTTTTAATTTATGAATTTAATGGTTAATGTACGTATCCAAATGATCAGAAGTTTGTTGATGCGTGTTCATTGCACCAAGATATTTCCAAGATATTTTACTGTACATTTATTTGCAAGTCGTATGCCACCTGGCATGTTTACAAGCGTTATGCCTCCTGGCATGTACATGATAGACATATTCTGCCACCTGGAATGTGAATTGATACATCATACTAGTTTTCTGCCACCTGACAGATACGATGCAATTACCTCAATTAGCGGTAATACGCCCGACATTTTGGCGTGTCCGCTTCCCTTACGTTATGTAACGCAACTAACTTTTTGTGCAGTGCGCCCTCTGGGCACAAATCACCGCAATCACCAAGGAGGCCAAAAAATCCCCCCCCCCCGATGAATTACATTCATCTTAATACAATCTTCAATATATGCAAACAAGTAAATGAAAAATATAGAAACTGAAAACATACAAAAACCTTCAAAAAGTATAAAATTACATGTTACACTTACCAATCTTCTAGCAAGACATCTTATATCTTACTATATTGAAACGTTAACTATGAGGGTTAAACTAGAACAAACAAATAAAATTATTAGTACAATAAGAAATAAAAAAAATAATAAAACATATTCAATGTAAACCAAACACTTAAGTTAATGTTCTTCAACTGGTAAAAGACACAGTTTGGTAATAGGACGTTTAATGTCCCCGTGCACAGTTTTTAGTCTAACCACTCGGACATTATTGTCTCTTCCAGGAAACACTTCTATTACTCGCCCGAGTTTCCAACGTAATGAAGGCATATTATCTTCTTTAATGAGAACCAAGTCATTTAGGCGAATATTTCTGCTAGGCTGTATCCATTTGCTACGTTGCTCTAGTTGGCACAGGTACTCTTTAGACCACCGCTTCCAAAACCCTTGGAACATCTGCTGTGTTAGTTGCCATCTTTGCAATGGAGACACTCGTACTGCGGTTAAATCTTGTTCCGGAACAGCTGTTAAAGTAGTCCCTATAATAAAGTGTCCAGGAGTCAAAGCTGTCAAATCATTGGAGACCGGTGTTATTATCACTGGAGACCGGTGTAATTACATCATACTAGTTTTCTGCCACCTGATAGATACGATGCAATTACCTCAATTAGCGGTAATACGCCCGACATTTTGGCGTGTCCGCTTACGTTCTGTAACGCAACTAACTTTTTGTGCAGTGCGCCCTCTGGGCACAAATCACCGCAATCACCGAGGAGGCCAAAACAGTTAAAAATACTTTGCTTCTTTACATACCACCTACTTTTCTCTTGCGTACCACCACTTTTAACCCTGATTTAGACTATGACAGCAAGCATAAGATAATGCGATAATTCCCCACAGTACTGCCCTCGCCGTTTAAAAGATATCTGGAAAGAAGCACGAGTCTCAATCAACCAGATATTCTTCCACAATACATCTCGTACGTTTGATGTCTACTTATGTCTATGGTTCTGGAACTCCTTCAACAACAGTTTCATTTAGAGTCCCTGCACTTGATATTCTGCCTGCATGTTCTGACGGTCCAGCAAAATCAATTTCACTTGAAGATCTTTTCTTTGTGACAGTATTCCGTTTCAGAAGCAATAAAATTTACTAACTATTTTTGTACAAATCTGTTATCATTGTCATAAATTTTGTCATCATCTCCAATTTCTTCGTTATTACTAAGCACTGGTATTGAAAACCATATTTCATCAACTAACTAATCATCTTTTCGCATCCAAGTCCACTAAATGAAAAATCATTTTTCACGATATAAATTTTTTCAATACTCAGTGTGTTATACTTTGCTGTAGAAATATTCATAAGCCATGCATAAAAACACGAAACCAGCGGGAAATTCGTGAGCAGTGAGCAGTCAACTTATATACTTCTACCGTTATACACTGAGTGAATGCATGATTATGCTTAATAGCAAGACAGAATTTTATACACCCAAAGTTTTAGTCATGTACAAAATTTTCGTTTTCCATTCCTGTCTATTCCTTAGACATATATATATATATATATATATAATACCAAAATAATTTTTGAAACAGCAAAAATCACGCCACTCCTGAAGTACGTTATGAATATCATGCAAAAAATAGTAACAATGTCTACTAAACCATCAGCTACATTTGTATACAGGTAAAACATCTCATGACATCTATGCGTATAATTAAGAATTAAAGTGTAATTACTACATACTTAAAACACATATGAACACTCCTCACTGATACAGAATGTCTCTGAATGAAAATAAAGTTAGGTAATGTAAGTTAATGTTATCAAATAATAGCACCATGCAGTGCTTATTTAAGTATTAGAAATTATGCGAAGGAAATTGTCGATAGCTTAGCGTGTATAAACAGCATAAATGCTTGAAAACTGAAGTGATGGTAGCTAATTTTAATAGGAATCCAGTTTTACAATATTATTTCCCTTCTTTTATTTTAAGATTACATCCTAATTATATTTAATCGAAAAACTGGGTAACCTTCCTGGAGTACCAAACAAGTGCTCCTCCCAACTTAGTATGCTTCTATTTTTCCGAATTTCCAGATTTTGAATGCTTATGTTTCCTTCTTGCTTTTTCGGTAAACATTCATTGGCTAACAATATAAAACTGTTATTCCTTATTTATTTTTGTGTTGACATATCATTAAACGAAAATGTACTTTTGTTACAATCATAAAATGCACGTCTGCGATGTCATCATCATACAATGATTTGTAGGTGCTTTATCTTTTGCCAAGATACTTTATACGACGATGTTATAAAATTGCGAACTTTCTACACCGCTAATTTGCATTTATAGTATAGATGACTGAAAGTACAAATACAGGCGAGATTCACTTAATAACGTGCTAATTAAAATAAACTTCAGACCTTAACTATTTTTACAGCCTTTTAACCATTTTATCGTGCAATATTTTTATTAATAATTCTAAAATTTAATAGCGAGCTAATTAAAATAAACTTCAAACCTTAACTATTTTACAGACTTTTAATCATTTTATCGTACGATGTTTTTCTTAATAATTCTAAAATTTAATTTTTCTCTTTAATTTCGATTGAGCATGGTTCAGCCAATAGGCTTAGACACCGCAAAATATCAAAACATTTCAGCTGCTAAGTTGAGGTGTAATCTTCATACTTTTTTAATGTTATTTCATGCGACTGCAACACTTTTCTTTGTTATTTAAGGTTGATTTCCTGGATGAGCAAAACGTGACTGGAATTATCACAAAAGGAAGGGAAGATATACCTCAGTGGGTTACCGCTTATACTGTTTCTTACAGCAATGATGGAATTGTATGGAATCCCATAAAAGGAGATGATGGCACCAAGAAAGTAAGTTTTAATTAACCTTCTTCGCTTTTGCCCAACTGGAAACTTTTCATAATTCTTAAAAAAATCTGTTAAATCAGTTATTAATAATCATTAAACTGATTAATTTTATTTGAATATTTAATAAATAAACTGTAATAGTAAAGCTGGATTAAATATACTGAAGAAATAATATTCCAGAAATATGGTATATTTATATACCGCCTTTGAATTACTTTATAAATAATGTTCTTTTGTTTTCTCAGTGAAGTTAAAATTACTGAAAATAATTTTACTAATCAATTTAACATTATTTGCTCGAGTTAACACGTGGTTTTCGAGTAAATCCGAATTTAATAGGTTTTTTTTAAGTAAAGTCTTTCCCGAATGTGTAACATTCTTTACCTCTAATTACAAAATGAAACGTAGTACTGGATGGAGAACTAGCATAAATGCGGATATACTTTTAAAATTATTATTGTATAAGTACAGATAGAAGCTAGGACAGCACCTTTTAGTATCATAGGTGATAGAAGTATTGTTGTACCTAGTAATTTCTAAGCTTCCAACCCAGCTCGAAATTCCAAGAGAGAACATCCCGGGGGTAGGCAAGGGCCCTTCAAGGCCAAGGGACCTCTACTAGTCTCTCGAGAGGATTTTTGGCTCGCCGTCTATTTTGAGTGCTGACGTGCCGCATAGGCACTATACGCTTACAAACATCCATGCCGTCTTTGGGGTTCAAACCGAGGCACTTCGGACGGCTTTTAGCGATAAAACCACTATCATAAAAAGGCCAGCCGCAAAAAAAAAGTTGTATAAAAGGTTGAATGAAATTTATATATCATTATTAGCCTGAAAAAGTAGAAATTTCATCTGAAATCCCCAGCGTATTTGGTTGATGATATACTTAACATTCGCAATCTCAACACAATGCTTTTGTTTTTTTAATTATCTTTATATTTATTACTTTCTTTTAAACTAAAAATATTATTTAATATTCACCTAATGAACTTGAAACTTGTGATTGATCATTATAACAAGAACTTGTCAGTTTTGGTCTAATAGTTGATGGACGAACAGGCAAATCATCACTAAGATTCACCAGACTAGATCTTTAGATTATGCTATTTTTATTGCATAAAATATAATGTTAACAAATAGTGGCCTGGTTTAGCTGAGCGCCGCTTAAAATTTTAAATTATTGATGATTCTACAACTATTGCATGCAGATTAACTAAAGGCATAAAGCCTTTAACCGGAATATAAGAACAACATAATCACGTTTAGGGCAGAAAGCCACAATTTACTAGCATATAAGGAAAAAAGTGAGCTTATGTTTATAGTATATATATCTTGCTCAGTTAGCTAGTATATACGTATATATGAGAAGAGTTTGATGTATTATCTTCTAGGAAAAGCTGGAAAGAAATATTTTTCAAATTAGGAAACAGAAAAAATATAAAAATGAAAGCTCATAAATGAATAAATATTGTTATTGATTGGAGATTGTTTTACTTTTTAAGGGGAACAAATCAATCTTCAATCAGTTAACAATAATCAAAATAAGCGAGAGTGATAATAAGTAAGACCACTGATATGTCTTTTTTCTCTGGTAAAAATCAAAAGTCAAGAACCAATTAGAAAAGCAAAGAAAATGAACATATATTCAGTTATTCTGTTTGATATACATATATACGTTTGGTTAGGTTAGGTTATTTAACTACGGCAAAGCCTCGAGGGCCATCTGCCTAAGGGGAGTGATGCCTTCGTGGAGGACTTTCTATGGGAACTGGCTCGTATACACGTTACACATGGGGAAAACCACGAAAACGCCCATGCAGCCAACCCGTTCGCGGGATTCGAACCTCGGACCGAACTACCAGTATTCAGCGACTGTACTGCTCGGCCACTGGTGGGCCACATATATACGTTTGGTGCTGCCGATTGCAACATAATGCAGTTGCACAACTACATACAAAATTTCAATGTTTTGCTGTTAATAAGAATAAACTCAAATTATTCTATTGTAGTAAAAGTTATCCCAGCTGTTTAATTATAAGCTGGAAAGAAATATTTTTCAAATTAGGAAACAGAAAAAATATAAAAATGAAAGCTCAAAAATTCTGAGTTATGCAAGATACATGCATACGTATATACGTACATACAGACGTCACAAAAAATTTCTTCTGAGTCCCTTTGAATCCGTTTTGAAAAACATAATCCTTCGCGATTACAATACGTGCTTTCCTTCGTATAAGGAGATAAAAATGGCTTTATTTTATTCTGATATTTATGGTTGTCTCAAAGTTTTCCCTTACACTGGAAAATATTTATTAATAACTTGCTCCTATATAGCCTTTTTTTTTCTTGAACCTACTAATATTGTCATTAAAAGTCCCTTTATACTATCCTAGAAAATTTTCTCTTATTAAAAATAACGGTACTGAAATAACTTCGAGAACTTGCTTGTGACGACAAGAATTTAATTACATTAATGCTTGGATTCTCTCCAAATTCAATTTCCAGACTATCGGCTCACCTAACAACAAGGTCATTATCCAATTCTTTGAGGCCCTGTTTCTGGTCTTTAATTCGTAGATAATTTGCACATTCTTTTTCAGAATAGTTTCTTATCTATCGGCTGGACTGAAAGAACGTGAAATTTCACGCTTAAGAGCATGATTCGTATGTTCTAAAACTACAAATAAATAAATCTCTAGCAACTAATTCTAGTTGGTTCCTCAACTACACCTTCAAATTCAGTTGGGATAAAAAATTAAAAAATATTTCCATTTACTTAATTAAAATTAATTGAAGTCTTTCATATTAGCAAAATTTACCTACATTTTCGATGATATTAAACTCAATCCCGTTTTTCTCTGTCTTTCAAATCTCCAGTATTTTAGTTATCTATATAATATTTATGATATTTAATAACTAGTCTTTCCAAATCTATATTTTACCCATTCATTTCCTTTCTATGGCTCTTTGTTCTGCCCCCGTCTAAATATGTTTTATTTCTGAAGAAGAGAGAGGCACACATGTAGAGAGGCATGGTTCCAGCACCAATGGTGCAAAAACGAAATTCGTTTAAAATATTTCCATGTAATTTAAGACTAGAAAATGAACAAATCAAGATATTCTGTTTTCAATCCTCGCTGGATGATGATAAAAGCATGAAATTATATGGTACTTTGCACTTTTAAACAAATTATACTTCGCTTTAAAAGATGTTTCACAAACTGACCCAGTCCCTGACTGAGAACTGCTTTGACTTTTGTGAGAGACTCTTAGGGTTGCACGGTAAGCATATCCTTTTTTAGGGCAGTTAAGCCAGCGATTGTACAGATTCTGGACTCTCGACTTTCTCGATGCCATCCACATCAAAACGTGACGAATTTTTGAAGGACCCCAGATTCAGGAAAAAAAGTGAAAGCAAAAAAAGATAACGCTGTTCCGTAGATGTAAATTGCGAATGAGGAAGGAACCCGTAAGGTAAAAATACAGAAATTAATGCAGGACTACGGAGAGGAAAAGTATAGCTGCTTTTACGGGAATTCGGAACTGAACACCTGATGTGCCAGAGGAAGTTTGAAGAACGATTAAGAGCTGCTAAAACCCCTGAAGAAGTGGGCAATCTCGCGATGGAGTATGCAAAGAAAACTTCCAAGCTGAGCAGCAAAAAAACAGCAAACAGAACAAAACGCCAATTTCCCTGAAAACGAAGATAATTGGATTTCCCCCAAAAAGACTGCTAAAATTCAAGAAAAGACAGTTCCTATGGAGATACCGCAAGAGAACCGCCTCCATAGATTGTATTCTCTCAAAACGAAATTGATTGGGTGAATTTGGACGAAATGTTCACGATACACAGTGCAGAAGCCCATTATTCCCAAATGAGGGGAAACTCGATTTTTGTCTGCACCAAGAACCTGACTGACTACAGTTTGATGAGTGAACTCCTTTTAGAGAAAAAGATACCCTTCCATTCCTACCAGTTTGAATTTGAAAAACTGATACGCGTTATAATGAAGAATCTCCCAGCTGCTATTCAAGAAGATGCCATAGTTTAAGACATGAAGTTCAGGAACTTCCCTATTTTAAAAGTGAAGCAGTTTTTCCAAAAGTCATGAAGGAAATAAAATCAAACTCCTCCTTAAACTCAAAAGAAACCCCGAAGGAAATAAAATCCACCAGCTAAATAAAATGTTCAGCTTTAACATCGTGATTGAAAAATTAAACCCGAAGAAAAGACCAGTCCAATGCTACCGCTTCCAGCAGTTCGGACACTCTCAATACTGCTGCAGAACCCTGTGAGATGCGTGAAGTGTGGAAACCAACATAGAAGCAACGAATGCAACATGAAGCCTGAGGACAAACCTAAATGCACTTTCTGCGGACTCTGCAATGTCAGCAGCTATAGAGGCTGCAATGAGTATAAAAAAACATTCGAAAGAAAAACAATCCTCCCCAACCCAAAGTTCCAGAATTTTGTGAAGAAAACTTCCCTAGTCCCAAGACTGCCGAAATTCCAGCGCAGAAAAATCCTAGCCAAGCTACATACAGTGATAAACTAAAAGGCAAAATCACTCCACCCCCTAAAGACCTCAGCGACGCGATGAAATGGCTTCAGGATGAAAAGATAAATTCGTTTCTAACGTCCATAATCTCATATATTGACAAAATCAGATCAGCAAAGAATTCTGCAGAGAAATTAAAAACAGACTTTCAAGCGGCTGTGTTGCTCATCAACTTCGCGGAATCCGAAGATTAGGAATGAATTAGCACTCCCCATTTGACAGACCAGTAGCGACGCAGGAAGTTTCATTTATCTCTTCTACGTCTTAGGAAGTCTAAGCTTCTTCTCTGGAGGTCTTATACGCAAGGCTCGTATCTAACATCATGTGAGAATTCTTTCTCAGAATTCTCTGCTAACACATTTAATGTTGTGGTAAGAACGTCCTGCCACTTCTCCATGAGTTATACACAGGATGAGGCTTTTACCCTAGGCGCCTGTTTTCCAT